ATACCCCTTCGAAGTGAGCGTCAAATCGAGCGCGCGGTCGACCTCGCAGCGAGCGGTGCGTGCAAACATCGCCTCGGGCACGAACGCATAATCTATGCGACAGGTGGTAGCGTGCGCGGACACCCACGCGTAGCCACTTCCCCCCACGCAGTAATCATCTGCAAATGAGACTGATCCGCAAACGTACGCAGAGAACTACCAGTTGAGTTTTCACGCTCTGGCTGGCTGCAGGGCAGTTTTTCACACATGGGAGTTTAAGAATTTGAAATACATGATCCATGTATGCATGAATGTATGCATGAACGCATCGTTGCCTTTCAATACTAATTCCCTGCATGTTTTATACACGATCCGCACGCGGAGCATGTATTACAACCGGCGCTGTAGGCCCGACCGAACGAGGAGGCGCAAAAACGACGCCACCGTTCGCGTCGACCAGTGCAACCCACTGGACAGGATGAGACTGGGGAAGCTGCGATTGCACTCGCGCGAGCTCCGCCCACCACTGGAGCCGAATGGCCCCCCCCTGGTCTGCGAGCGCGGGGCGCGCGCCACCAAGAAGACGGGGTCAAGCTGGGCAACGCGGATGAAGGCGTAAAGGATGCGAGGAGATACTTCACTCCAAAAACAGACGCACGCACGATTGCGCACCCAACACTGGACGCCAAGCGACCCACCTGGCACAGCAGCAGAGGCGAGCATGGTGCAATACTGGCCGCTGGTCTGCTCCGAACTCGGGGACCTGCCTGCCTGAGCCCAACGACGACAATAGATCGGTCATTGAACTGCGGTTCAAGGAGGGTGATCTTGCTGCGCATGCACACCCCGCTGACTTTAGCATAGGAATGCGCAAAGTGATGCGGGCGGAGCGTCATGACATTCGCACTCACGCACGTGAATGCAACAGGCGCTGGATCCATGCGCCGATTCATGGCGGTATCGTTTGCTGACTGGTGGTTCCGTTCGTGCTGGTGCGAATGCTCCGTCACGCGTCGCTGACGTCGGCGGCGGCCCCCTGAAAAACTTGGGAGTCCTGGGACGAGCGCGCGAACCATTCGGTGACATACCTCTTCGGCGGCTGCTTGCCATTGCGCCGCACAAGTAGCGGCGTCGGCGCCTGCTTGCCAGGCAGACGATGCGCCGCAGCGTCGACAGCGCGGGCGAGGTGCAGCGTTGAACTTGGCCAGGATGGCCTCCTACTGCGCCTTTGCCTCGGACAGCGCTTCGGGAAACACGCTGCCAAATGCGGACTATTCGTGCACTGCCGCCCCGACTTGCTTCGCGAGCTCGTCGATCGTCGACTCGGTGGGCAGGCGGGTCCAGGATCGCCAGAGGAGCTGCCGCCACCTGCCTCTCTGAAGGGGCCCTGGGACACACAAAGAAATACACACAAATAAAAGGATTCCCCAGATTTTCCTATATTTTCCAGGTTCCTGTCTTCCCCCCCACTTCCCATATTTTCGCATATCTTCTGGGAATCGACGAATAATTGTGTCTGTGTGTTTTTTCCCCTCCTGCCTCCCCAGCTCCGCGACGTCCGCCCGAAGGTTGGGCGACTTCGTCGGCAGCCGCCTGCGCCGCCCGCGCTGCAAGCTGCAGGCCGTCCTCCGCGGTCGCACGCCTCTCCCGGGCGCGCGCGAAGGCCGCGTCGGGGCCCCGTCGGGATGCTGGTCGGGCGGCCGAAGATCGCTCCGCTGCGTGCGATCGGCGTCGGGCCGAAACTGGATCGCAGCCCTCGCCCCTCGTTAAAGGCTTAACGACTTCTGCCGTCCTTCGACTCGCGCTGGAGCGGCCGCGAAGTGCTCGAACTTTCCCTGGAGATCTCTGGATTTACCTGGATTTACCCAGATTTATCTAGATTTACCTGGATTTGCCTCGATTTATCTGCATTTACCTGGGTTTATCTGGCTCGATTCTCACAAGTCGATTGGCGAAAAGTCGACAAGCCCTTAGGGAGCCCCATCCAGGGACGCATCCTGCGGGATCGCACCCAAGGCAACCTCCAACTGCCTGATGGACTCGACCAGCGCGCCACGCGTGGTCGACGCATCTGCCGGCGCTGCTGGGCCACCACCCGGAGGGGGGGGCAGACGCGCTCGGTCGGGCCGCAGGCGGGGACGACAGTGGAGGCACCCCCGCACACTTCGCCAACTTCTTGGCGACGACCTTGAGCTGTTGCCGAACCTGCTTGCCTATGGACGTGTGTGCAGAAGCAGTGGTCGCGTTGCCGATGCCATCCGGCGGGGACGGCCAGTGCTGCGAGTGCTTCACAGCATCGGCCCACGTACGGCGCATCCCGCATGTAGTGCAGGCATTCTGCGAGTGGTTCGTGGACTTGCATCCCGCGCACGTCCGCAAGCGATGCGCTGGGCCCATGTGGCTGCGCACTCCAACGCAGTGTCAATTGCCAGACGTGTCGCGCATCCACTCGAACGTCGAGGGCGAGTACTGCTGCGCTTGACGCGTAAAGGAGCCTTTTTCCCATGCCACTGCTGCCATTGCGTCATGTCGAGCCCCAGCTCAACAGGAGAAACAATAAGCGCATACGTGCTAGGACGACAAAGTAGTCTTACAATTGTCTCACGCCCGCACTTGAGACAGAATGGGTACGGATAGAAAGAGAGAGAGAGAGAGATTCACATACATATAGATGTATACATATGTGTATATAGATACTATATCCGCCTCCCTCGTCTTCTCATCGGTCCTTGAGTAGGAGGAGGAGAACGACGACTCGACGACGACGAGGAAGAAGGGCAGGATTCCTGCCGGCGAGTCCCAGGCTCCTAAACAAGTGGCACGCGCGCTCGGGACCATGCAATTTCGGTGACGGCCGAGGAAAATTTGACAAGGAGCGGGTCCATCCCGGATTACATCGGGGTTCGTCTGGGTACTCGTGGGGCCCGTTGCGGCTCTCTCGTAGCATCATTGTCACATGTACCACCAACACCGCAACCATCATCAACATAATCACCAGTTACGTTGTGGTTGTGGTTGTCGCATTCACCACCAGCAGACTGAAGCTACTACTATCATCACATCATCGTCATCGGCATCGTCATCCTGATCGTCGTCATCGTCATCATCAGCATCACCACCATCATCATCGTCATCATTCCACCAACCCTTTTCTCTGGCATGCTGAGGTGGACAAAGGCACTTCGGGGAGAAGGGAGACCAGATTGGATGAGGGCAGCACGACACGGATGAAGGCGCAGGGGCGGGCGCGGCCACCTCGACGGCCTCCTCTTCATCCTCGTCCTCGTCGTTGATTACTCTTCCTCCTCCTCCACGTCATTATAACCATAACCATCAACGCCAAAACTGCCGCCACCACCACCACCACCACCACCATCATCATCATCATCATCATCATCATCATCATCACCACCATCATCATCATCATCATCATCATCATCATCATCATCATCATCACCATCATCATCATCATCATCATCATCATCATCATCATGATCCTCCTCCTCATCATCACCATCACCATCAGCAGCATCATGATCATCATCACCAACATCATCATCATCATCAGCATCATCATCAAAATCATCACCATCATCACAACCACCACCACCACCATCATCATCAGCAGCAGCATCATCATCATCATCATCATCATCATCATCATCATCATCATCATCATCATCATCAGCATCATCATCATCATCATCATCATCAGCAGCAGCATCATCATCACAATCATAATCATCGGCAGCAGCAGCAGCATCATCGTCGTCGTTATCTTCATCGGCGTCGTCATCATCATCATCATCAGCATCATCATCATCATCATCATCATCATCATCATCATCGATATCGACAAAGTCATCGTTATCACGATGATCAGCATCAGCATCGTCGTCGTCGGCATCGTCGTGGTCATCGGCATCGTCGGCGTCAGCATCAGCATCAGCATCAGCATCAGCATCAGTACCAGCATCATCGCCACCATCATCACTATCATCAGCAGCAGCATCATGTGCAGCATCATCGCCAGTATCAGCATCAGCAGCTTCATCATCATCGGCATCAACACAGCATCATCACCACAATCATCACCACCACTACCATCATCATCATCAGCATGTTTATCATCATCATAATCATGCGCATCATCATCATGATGATCCTCATCAACACCATCACATCATCATCAGCATCATCAACAGCATCATCATCATCATCAACAGCATCATCATTATTATCGTGACCAGCATCAACGTCATCGTCAACAACATCATCACCATGATAAGCATCATCAGCATTGACGTCGTCGGTGCTGCTGTCGTCATCGTCATCGTCGGCATCAGCATCAGCATCAGCATCAGCATCACCATGCCCATCATCATCATCATCAGCATCATCAGCATCATCATGTGCAGTAGCATCATCACCATCATCGTCATCGTCACCACCACCACCATCATCATCAACACCATCCCCATCACCATCATCACCGTCATCATCAGCATCAGCATCCCCATCATGATAACCATCACCATCATGATCATGATAATCATATCATCCTCACCTTCATCCCCATCCTCATCGCCATCATCATCATCATCATCATCATCATCATCATCATCATCCCCAGCTGCTGCTCCTGGGATTGGTCCTTTTCCTCATCCTCTTGCTCTTCCTCCTCCTCTTCCTCCTCTTCTTCCTCCTCCTCATTCTCTTCCTCCCCATCCCCATCCGCTGCCTTCCTCCTCATTCTCTGCCTTCACCTTCCATCCGCCGCCTCCTCGACGGCAAGCTGCCCCTCCCACTCCCCATCCTCCTCCTCCTCATCATCCACCTTCCTATCATCACCATCACCACCACCATCACCATCATCACCACAATCATCGGCATCGTCGTCATCGTTATTATCGGTGTCAGCATCCTCGTCAACCTCCTGCTCTTGGTCCACATATTCCCTTTCCCTCCTCGTGCCCCAAACCTCGACCACCACATCCTCGTGGTCTGCATCCTCCCTCCCATTTCTCGACTGATTGAGCTTCTTACGCGCGCCGCGAGTCTGCTGGAACCGCCCCGGACAATCCTATGTACAAGCCAAGGGCCGCACGGCCCACAGATGTGGGGCGGGGCGGACGCAAACAAATACTGAGACGAACGCCGCACTGGCGGGATAAATCCTATTACGCAATAGCGACATGCAAAGACGCCATCAGCGAAGCCGAGACAAAAAAGACCACTCGTTCTCCAGATCCAACATCTCTAGCAGACATAGTCCTCGCCCTCCTCCTCCTCCTCATCCGCATCATCCGCATCATCATCATCATCATCATCATCATCATCATCATCAGCAGCAGCATCACCACCACCACAATCCATCATCATCATCACCACCACCACCACCACCATCATCATCATCACCATCATCATCATCAGCATCATCAACATCATCATCATCAATGGGATCCCAGGTCAAACAAATATTTCTTTAATACTGGTCAAAACATGATTTCTGGTAAAGTATAAAAAAATTATCCTGGCGAAAGACCCAACCATAAGCAATTGTTGGTAACGCGTTGTGGGTGCCGCTTTCGGTGGGGCTCCCTATGGGGCCACGAAACGCTGCCTTGGGTGGGGGAACCGCATGCGGACTGCGCCACCGGGGCGGGCCTTCGGTGGAGCTCCCCATGGGGCTACGAAACGCTGCCCTGGGCGGGGGAACCGCATGCGAAGTGCGCCACTGGGGCCTTCGGTGGAGCTCCCTATGGTGCCACGAAACGCTGCCCTGGGTGGGGGAAGCGCATGCGAACTGCGCCACGGGGGCTTTCGGTGGAGCTCCCCATGGGGCCACGAAGCGCTGCCCTGGGTGGGGGAACCGCATGCGAGAGCAGCCACTGGGGCCTCCGGTGGAGCTCCCTATGGGGCCACGAAACGCTGCCCTGGGTGGGGGAACCGCATGCGAACAGCCCACTGGGGCCTTCGGTGGAGCTCCCTATGGGGCCACGAAACGCTGCCCTGGGTGGGGGAACGCATGTGAGACAGCCACTGGGGCCTTCGGTGGAGCTCCCTATGGGGCCACGGAGCGCTGCCCTGGGTGGGGGAACCGCATGCGAACACCCCCACTGGGGCCTTCGGTGGAGCTCCCTATGGGGCCACGAAACGCTGCCCTGGGTGGGGGAACCGCATGCGAACACCCCCACTGGGGCCTTCGGTGGAGCTCCCTATGGGGCCACGAAACGCTGCCCTGGGTGGGGGAACCGCATGCGAACACCCCCACTGGGGCCTTCGGTGGAGCTCCCTATGGGGCCACGAAACGCTGCCCTGGGTGGGGGAACCGCATGCGAACACCCCCACTGGGGCCTTCGGTGGAGCTCCCTATGGGGCCACGAAACGCTGCCCTGGGTGGGGGAACCGCATGCGAACACCCCCACTGGGGCCTTCGGTGGAGCTCCCTATGGGGCCACGAAACGCTGCCCTGGGTGGGGGAACCGCATGCGAACACCCCCACTGGGGCCTTCGGTGGAGCTCCCTATGGGGCCACGAAACGCTGCCCTGGGTGGGGGAACCGCATGCGAACACCCCCACTGGGGCCTTCGGTGGAGCTCCCTATGGGGCTACGAAACGCTGCCTGGGTGGGGGAACCGCATGCGAACACCCCCACTGGGGCCTTCGGTGGAGCTCCCTATGGGGCCACGAAACGCTGCCCTGGGTGGGGGAACCGCATGCGAACACCCCCTTTTGGGGCTTTCGGTGGAACTCCCTGTGGGCCATGAAACGCTGCCCACTGCGAACACCCCCACTGGGGCCTTCGGTGGAGCTCCCTATGGGGCCACGAAACGCTGCCCTGGGTGGGGGAACCGCATGCGAACACCCCCACTGGGGCCTTCGGTGGAGCTCCCTATGGGGCCACGAAACGCTGCCCTGGGTGGGGGAACCGCATGCGAACACCCCCACTGGGGCCTTCGGTGAAGCTCCCTATGGGGCTACGAAACGCGTGAGAGGTGTGCCGAGAGCAGAGGCAAGGAGGGGGAGGAGGGAGGAGGGGGAGGAGGAAGAAGGAGAGGAACGCGGGGCACCGTCTCTTCAAAACGAGGACCCAACACCACAGGATGGTTGGGAAAAAAAAAAAAATGCATTCCGACCCCAGGTACGCCATCTGTGTGAGGGGCGTGCAGAATTGGCGCCGAGCGGCGGCCAGACAAGGGGCCTGGCAGGCCAACCGTGCGAGGCTGCGGCGTTGCAGCCTCCGGCACCACCGCGGAATTCGGGTGACGACGACGACGCCCGCGACGACGACGACGGCGAAGATGACGACAACGACGACGACGACGACGACGACGACGACGACGACGACGGCGACGACGGCGGCGGCGACGAGTGCGCAGGCCAGGTACGCGCTGAGCCTCCCGACGCCCCAGCGTGCCTCCCGACAGAAGAAGAGCAAAAGGCACTATGAAAGGTACATTATACAAATGCGCAGTCGGTGTCTTCGAGTGTGTGCTTACTTTCACTGGACAGCTTGCAGAGTTGCGCAGGGCATTTGGCCAAGGCACCGTGCGATTTGCGAGGTCTGGATACATGTACATATATATATATATATATATATATACATATATATACATACATATATACACACATACATACATACATACATACATACATACATACATACATACATACATACATACATACATACATACATACATACATACACATACATACATACATACATACATACATACATACATACATACATACATACATACATACATACATACATCCATGCATGCATGCATGCATGCATGCATGCATACATACATACATACATACATACATACATACATACATACATACATACATACATACATACATACATACATATACACACACCCAGCGACGTGTGTGTGTATATATAAGCTGTGCGAATCGCGCCAGGGGTGGCGCCTGAAACGCCGCCAGGGGCAATCCAGCGCCGACCCAAGAAGTCCGCTCGGGCATCCAGAAGTTTTTCTTTGTGACGCTTATCGGGAGGAGAAGGAAGAGGAGGAGGCGGTGGAGGAGGAGGAGAAGAAGGAAGAGGAGGGGTAGGAGGAGGAGGAGGAGGAGAAGGAGGAGGAGGAAGAGGTTGAAGATGATGCGGAGGAGGAGGAGGAGGAGGAGGAGGAGGATAAAGAAGAAGAAACTGATGCGGAGGAAATGGAGGAGGAGGACGAGGAGGAGGAGGAGGGGGAGAACCAGGGTAAACCTAACAGTCATCAACGATGTTTGAATTAACCCGCCCTGCAAGTTCCCTCTTCATAGGGCCCTACAATGGTTCATTTCAATTGAGGGGGCTGCCTCGTTGGAAGGCAACTGCTTGAAGACGTTGAAGCATGCCAAAACATTGTTCTTGGGATTTCCACGCCGCGGATCAACCTGACTGCCGCGTACTGACGACCCGGAACCGCGCCACAACGCCATTGACTTGAGCACCACGAGTCAACAGAACTGCTCCACCCGCATAATCCTGAATTTCTCCACAAGACCAGCTCTGGCACGTTGATCATGGGAAACCCTGAAACTCTTGCAATTGTTAAACGAACGCGCGCGGCGCCAAGGCGAGAGCCACATTTTGAAAACCACCCGCCATCAACCCGTGAAACTGTTGCAAATGTTTAAAACGAATGCTCGCGGGCCTGAAGCGAAAACCACTGTTCAAAAACGACCCGCCCTCGATCCGTGAAATTTGGCAACTGTTTAAAACGAATGCGCGCGGCGCTAAGGCGGAAGCCACTTTTGAAAAGGAGCCGCCCTCAATCCGCAACTCTTGTGAGTTTTATAAAACGAATGCTCGCGGCGCTAGGGCGGGAGCTACATTTTCAAGACCACCCGCCCTCAATCCGCACAACTATTGCACATGTTTTTGAAAGTAAAGTTAATAATAATTATAAATAACAAAAAAGAAAACACAATAAACTAAATATGATGTGTGCAGAGCTAAACCGAGAGCCACATTTTGAAAACCACCCGCCCTCAATCCGTGAAACTATTGCGGTAATTTTAAACGAAATCACGCGGCGCTAAGGCGGGAGGCACATTTGAAAACCACCCGCGTGAAACTCCTGCCCATATTGAAAACGAATGCGCGCGGCGCTAAGGCGAAGCCAGCATTTTCGAAACCACCCGCCCTCAATCCGTGAAATTCCTGCCCGCGGCGCTGAGGCGAGAACAACATGTTCAAAACCACACGCCCTTAATCCGTGAGACCCTTGCAAATGTCAAAAAAACAATGTGCGCGGCGCTAAGGCGAGAGCCACACTTTGAAAACCACCCGCCCTCAACATGCGAAACTCTCGCTTGTTCTTCAAGCTCCATTATGATTCTGAATGAATCAGAATGGCCAGGAAACCTCCGGGGAAACGCCTGGTCCGCCCAAGGGAAGCAGCCTCGGGATGCGACAGGGAGAAGTTCTGCATGAGGAAAAGGAGTGGAGGAGGAGAAGGAAGAGGAGGATCAGGAGGATGAGGAGGAAGAGGAGGAATCGGGGGAGGATCCACCAAGGAAAGGGGAGGGAAAAAAAAGGGCAACGGAGCGGCCCCGTCGGGCCACCTAGTGGACGATGTTTCGGCCTGGATCGACATGCTGAAAGAGCGATGGCGGAGACACTGGGAGCTGACCCGCCAGTGCTCTTGCCCGAAGTGGAGGAGGAGGAGGACTGACTGACTGACTGACTGACTGACTACGAATCGGACCCAACATGTCGTCACGACTTGCATGATACTATACTGCTGGAGTGTGCACCTGTCTACTTGACTTCTGGGTCTATCTGGAGCTGGGCTCCTCACTCGCGCCAGAGGGGCGCTCGCGTCAACAAACGCACTGGCTCTGAGGGCAAGCTACTCCCGCACTCGTCGGGCTAGCCGCCCACGAGCACTCGGGTGCCGTGACTCTGGCGTTGCAGCGCCCCTCGGTTGGCCTCGACGGCGCGACGGAGGGCGCGGCGGGGGGCCAGGGCAAGGAGTGAGGAGGCGGAGATCGAGGTTAGTCTGAAACGCTGCAGCTGGCTGGCTCGGCTCTCGAGGGGCCAGTTGTCCTGAGGCCTGCAGCTGTGCAAAACGCGCGCTGTCGCGAAATGCTGGCGGTGCCGAACTGGCTGGAACTCTCTCAACCTCGGCCGGGGCCAGACGAAGTCGGCGAGTGGGGTCTGGGACCTGATCTGCTTCATCAGGGATTACCTCTAGGACTATCGGCCGTAGAAACTCATCACTTGGCTCTGCTGATAAACTAGCTTCGCGAGG